ATCCGACAGCAGCTAGGTCCTCTAATTGTCAGCAGCTGTTGAAAGGATAAAGTTTTAGTATATCAGTGGTTAGAAACACCATTATTAGGATTATTTTAACACAAAGTCAGGGCTGACCCGGGACCATGGCTGTGCAGCATAAAGGTCCTTTCACATCGGACGCAGCATGTGCTGCTAATGCTAACTGCTAACTAAAAGCTAAGGATCCAGAATTTGTTGCGCTGGCTGCTGAGCTCTGTGTGCAGCAGCTCTACCTGCACTAGATGCACCTGCTCCTTGTCGTTTCTATCTCTGACTTCATGTCGTCTACAAGAGTTTGTTTTTTTTATCTTCAAATGTTCAATAAAAACATGTATCGCTAATTCATAACGAAGAAAGCTTTGTAACCATCCCCACCAATGAAGACTGTGTCTCTGGAGGTCCCTGCAGGTAAACCTGTGACACAAAAATCACCAAACTGAGACGACCACAGACTGTTTTCATTCGTGGTGATGAAGGAAAACGCTGGGCCGGCATGTAAAAGGGCTTTTATTCCCTCAGGACCTGAAGCTCCATATAGCACCCACCTGTTCTCTGATTGGATTGTCAAATTTGTGATTGACATGGTGGCCAATCAGATGAAAGAAAGAAAAATAGGGTCAAAATTCGTACTTGAAACTTGAGTGCAGAGTTTGATACGTAATGTTTTGGTCCACACACAAATCCTGATTTACAAGTACAAAATATTTACGACCACAACTTGAGCCCATAAAGATTAATCAGTAATCCAGAACGTGATGTTTCTTATTTTGATGATTTAAACTCATCGCACACAAACGCTGTCAGCACATTTTAATCATCAACATTTGACACTCACTGAACTGCCAGGAGAAGCCGGAGCTGCTCTCCAGCGTCGGGTGGTTGAAGGTGTCCCTGCAGTACATGACTCGGGTGTTGGGCGTCACCTTGATGCCTCCCAGCGCCAGCAGGTGGGAGTCCTGCAGGGCAGACCCCCTCGCTCCGTCCTGGATGCGCCGCTGCAGCGAGCGGAAGCGGCAGTACTGGGGGTAGCTGATGACTTTGACAGCGTGGTGCTCCGCCGCGCCGTCTGAGGGGAGGAGACACAGGTGGGGTTATTTTTGTTTCGGTGGCTTTAACTCGTTCGCTCCGTTATGCTCTGCAAACACAGCGCTTCCCACTTTCCGTCAGGCCCCAGATTTGTCTCCGGGCTCTGAACGTCTCTGTATACACGACAAACACGAGTATCCCGGTTACTGATTACCGCTGTGCAGGCGCCGGCGGTGTTTGCAAACACCGGGCGGCAATTTTGAGATGTTTAATTTGACGTTTCTGTAGCCGTCACCCTCAAATACATCCGATTTGTTTGGGAAACCTCTGAAATTACAAAGAAGGCTCAACTGTGCTGCAGGTAGTCGGCAGCATTCATAAACATGCAAACAGCGTCCTGCTTCCTTTCTCAGGACTCTGGATTAAAAACCTCCTTTTCAGTGAGCTGACCTGCAGCGCAGCCGACACAGAACAGAAAAACAATGAAAGATAAAGAAGCAGCTTCGCTCCACATAAACCAGCTCGTTCTGCAAAACCCTTTAACCCACTCTGACACGCTGATTATGGTTTTATTAAACATGTATGCACAGAGATAAACAAGAACCCACCCAGGTTGAGACTCATGGTTAAAATCCCATTAGTGGGAAACGTGCACTCTCTTTCCACAGCACAGGTATTAAACTTGCTACGAGTTTCCTCACCTGGACACAGAATCGAGATTTACATTTGGCGTTTTTTTGGCGCCATGAAAGTACCGACGTCACCAACGTTTCCCTGCTACAGACGCCTGTAATCGTTCTTCAGTTTAGAACGTGTGAGCATGTGTGTGACCTCCCTCCATCCTTTTTTCTTAAACAGTAATCTATTACTTTTTCATTTCAGAGCAAATATTCGTTTTATTTTAACCACAAAACTTTCAAGTGTAAGTTTAAAGAAATAAGCTGACGATTTCTTCACCCGAACCACC